TTTAACACGGCATTTCAAACTGGAAAATAATCTATGGATAACAGCATAGGGATGCTGGTCTTAGCTGCCAGAAAAAAAAATTAATAGAGTTAGGAAAGCAATTATCTCAAAATTAATGTTCTTGTTTTAGTTTCAGCAAACAAATCCATATAAATCTTTGGTTCAGGTTTACGATGTCATTCTAACCAGCTAATTATCCTTGGACTCAAGAAGGAGCTGTGATTCCACACCTAGCTTCAAAGATCATATGCCTATTGCCTCCTCCACTTTCATTTCCTCTTTCGACAGTGAGTTTTCATATTCTCTTTCTCACATACACACACCCCTTTATTTACATACTGATGGATAGCTTGCTTCCTGAAAATCATCAGCTACACAAATGGAGGGAGAATCTCAAGATAATACTTATGTTAAAGGATATTAGGTACTGGGTAAACCAAGAGAACTCTAACAAACAGCATCTATCTGTCTAGCTATTGTTTTTCCATTGAGACAGCTGCCGCAAAGGACAATCCCATCAGTGGTCTCTCACAGGTTATGATTCATATCTATGCCCAGATTCTTAAACTAATAAGAGGTGAAATCTTCACTTGCTCAGTGTTTTGGAAAGAATAAACCAGTTTTTGTTTGTTTTGTTGTTGTTGTTTTTTTTAAATTATTTTCTTTTTTTTTTTTTTCCCCTGGAACTAAAAGCAAGGCATTCCACTGGCCCTATAGCAAGGTATTTGATGATATGAACAAGAAATTCCATCAGACCAGTAAAACATTCGACGGGACTGTTTCTCTTCCAAAGGATGAAGTGGCACAAATTTCTTATATTTACCTTTTCCCCCCCATATTCCTATTCTTGCACATTAAGTAGGCCTTCCTCCGCAGATTTATTCTGAACAAGTGTGTGCACAATAATATGTTGCTCCGCTGCATGCTTTTCTTTCTAAGTTAGCAGCCATTATTCTGCAGAGTATTAAAAAAGGAACTGACGATGGCATTGCCAAAAAGCCACAAGTAGCATTAGTACATGCCAGAGCACTGAACGTGAAACTATCCTTTCTCTGTAAAAGTTCTATTGCCAAAGTACTCGGATCTGGAAGCTGCAAGACAGGTTTCAAGTGCAATTACATTCTCCAAAAGCAAAACTGGACCCAAAAAAAAAAAAAAAATGCTGCCTCTCTTATGTCACCATTTTATAGACAACATTTTCTCAGGATCTTAATTAAGATAACGACGCACACCTGTGTCAACATTCTCTGGCAAGACAGCCTTATCAATCATAATCCTTTAAGTACACTCCCAAACAGCAAAGCCTATGACAGAAGCAATCTGTTGCCTTTCCTGCCGCTGCGTGTCTTCCACAAGAATTATGAGATCTTTGAAATACAGCAGACTTATTTTTATGACGCTTTTAAAGTTTTCACTGTAAACAGCTATTACATTAAATAAACAGAAATAACCTCTTTTGCACTTGAGTTTAAACAATGGCAGCCCAAGCCTTGAAGAGGCAGCTCAGGGGCCACTTCTTGGCAATCCAGCTGTTGCGAACCTTTATTTTTAAGCTCTCACGTGTTCTGCGTAACTGGACCCGTACAGACATGACAAAACCCATCAACCCTCGGGAAGTTTTCAAAGTAAAAACTGAAGAAAGTAGATGTTATAAGCAATCAGAGCAAACTTACCCTTAGTGCCAAGTAAAAAAGAAAATGTTCAGAAAGATTAAAAATGTTAAGGTTAAGATTAAGCAAAGGGGGGGGGGAGAATGTCGCCCTGGAAACCTCGGACAGGAGGAAGGGGAATAGATTCTGCCTCTGATGAGCTCATCAGGGCAGTGACAAGAGATCTGTGAAGTGCCCGCTAACGAGCAAGATGCCTTCCAAAAGCAAAAAATGAAGGAAAGGATGGGGTAGGGGGTGATTAAAAAGTTACAATCTCGGGTTTATCAGGAAAAAAAAAAAAAGAGTAAAAGTAAAAGGTTTCTTAGGAAAACAGACATCCGCCAGATGTCATCTGAATTCCGTCTGGCTGTTAATGATCTTTCCCTTTTACATAAGGCCAGCCGCTGCAGCAGAGCCATCAATGTGCAAATAAAGCAGAAAATAGAGACATCCTTAAGAAATGAGCCTTAAATTTGACGTAGAGAGGAGGTGACAACCACAGCTACGCTACCAGAAATTCTAAATGCTTCAGTCTTCGACAACAAAAAGAGTTTGAGAAGAGAGTGGGTGCAAAACAGAACCCAAACAAATTTAAAAAAGACCAAAACCCTCAAACGGCCTAGAAAGACAGAGTGATGTAATGAGGATGTCTGCATGACAGACTGATGCTCGGAGGCAGCAACCTCCATGGCTTCACTGCAGAAATGTGCGCCCCAGACCCGCAGAGCCGCCGCGCGTGCGTGGAGGGAACTCCAGGAGGCCCGCCGGGCACCCCAGGGGCGCACGCCCATGCGAGGGATCCCGCCGTGCGCGGGGTCCCGCCGTGCGCGGGGGACCCACGCGGGGACGTAGGCTCGGCTCCAGGGGCGCGGGGCGGGGGGCTCAGCCCGCGTGGGGACCGGACGGCGGGACCCCAGGCTCACCTCTCGGCTGTGGCGCGGACCGCGGACGCTCCCTCGTGGCTGGCGCGAGTCCCCGGCGGGCGGCGCGCGCGGGCTGTTCCCAGCCGTTAGCGTCAAGGGCTGTGCGAGCGGCTGGCGGCGGCGGCGGCGGCGGCGGGCGGAGTCGAGGGCGGGCACTCAGGAGCGGAGAGGCGGGAACGCAAGCAGCAAGGTGGGGGGACGTCCCCGGGCACCCAGGGAGCCCCTGGTGATCAAGCGGGTGTAGATCTAGCCGAGGGCGGCGGGACACAGTCCCTTCGCCTCCTGAGAAGCTGCCACGGGGCCATCAACTCCGGGGCCCATCCGCTCGGGCCATCCGTGCAGCGTCCCCTGGCTCAGGCTCGGCCAGCTCGCAGCCTTCTCGGCCCCGCAGTCCCAGCCACCGCCGCCGCTGGCTTCCCGTCTCCATGACAATAGCGTAACCGGCGCCCCGCCCCTCCTCGCCCCGCCCCTTCGGCTCCTAGACTCTGAGGTTAGCGGGTTTACGTAGGTAAGGGGGCGGAGCCAAAAGGCCAGCGTCCAATCGGAGGCAAAGGCAATGTAAAGATCAGGGCTGGGCGGACCCGCAGGGTCTGGAGAGCGTAGTCGGCTTGGGTCGGTCGGTTTGATAGCCAGTCTTTAGAACAACTGGGCGGAGGGAGGAGTCAGCGCGCGTGCTTTTAGGCGCGCCTCTGAGCGCTCGCGAATTGGGTAGCCGGATGGCTTAGTGTGTGCGGAGATGGGGCTCAGGAAATAGTTTAACTCATCAGAGTTCATTGCGAAAGAATTTTGAGTCTAGCCTTGTGACTTGCGTGCGACCCCTTTATTATAAATGGCCATAAAGTTCCAGCTATTTTGAGATCGAGCGCCCATCACTGCTAGCCCATGCTCTAGTTCACCAGCGCGCCTGTTTGTCCGGAGCTTCTAGTGCTGTCTGTGGATTGTGGCGGTTGAGGGTGGGGGCAAAGAGGCCAGCAGGTTTGTTTTGTTATTCTATGTGGCTGGGCAAGGATTGTCCATGACTCACTTTGGTATGTTTGCCTCGCCAGCGCCTCTCTGAGCTGTGGTTGGGTTGGGCACTGCTCTTCAGAGTGTACTTCTTTGAAGGGTGGGCGGCGCGAGAGTGCATGAGAAGGGGAAAGAGAGTTAAACAAAAGGGAACCGGACTCGTACCCCTCCCCAAAGGCCTGGCAGGGGGTAGCTACCTATGGGAACAGCAGAGAAAGAGGCTTCGAAACATAGTGCAGAGGATGTGCTAGACGTTCCCGGGTGTAGATGCTTCGCAGTCAGGTGGCTTTTGCCTAAATTAAAAGTCACCCCAGCCGTCCGAAGTCAGCCCTAGACGACCATCAAGGGGTCTGGGGAAAGGTGGCCTGGTTGAAGATGTGCAGACGTTGTAGGCCTGTCTCTCGCCCACCTGCTACTACTGCTTACGGGCAATTCTATCGGACTCGCTGCGCCCCGGGCGCAGGCATCCATCTGCCTCTCTCAGAGACTTCATTCTGGGCCTCCACTTCACTCTCGAGGCTCTGGGTAGGAGGAGAAGCCGGCGGTGGAGGTGGACGGTGACCCACCTGCAAGCCCAGCTTCCAGGCGAACAAGAAATCCGCTAGCGCCTAGGTTTACTGGGGCGAGGAGAGCGCAGAGCGTTGGCCGGCACGCAGTCTTGCAAGGCCTTACTCCCTTTGTGCTTCAAGGCAGATTACTGCTCCCGGCCCGCCACTTCGCCTGGAGTTAGTAGAGGAGGAAAGTTGGAAATCCTCGGCTGGCTCGTCTGGGATGTGATTGTCATCCTGGAGCCGGCGCTCGAGAGTCTGAGCGAGAGGGGAAGAGAGGGAGATCGGAAAGGGGAGAAGGGGGAAATCGGGAGGAGGGGAAAGGGAGGGGGCCGCAGAGGAGAGGCGGGCACAAGGGAGGGGCGAGGGGAGCGCCAGCGAGCGCGAGAGGGAGCCGGGGAGGAAGACGGAGAGAGCGAGGCGCGCCTGGCGGCCGGGTTGGCTGCGGCGGCCCCGAGGCTCCTGCCAGTCCTCCCACCGACTACACCCCGGGAAGGAGGAGCTTCAGGCGCGCACTGGGCGTCAGAATCCTCAATTTCCAACTTAGCATCTTGGCAGGACCTTTGCGAAGCCAAAAGCAGAGCCCCCCGGTGCTAAGAGCGAGGGGAGGGGGGGAGAGAAAGCAGCAAGGGAGGGGGGGCGGAAAGGCCAGCCAGGGCGAGCGAAGCGCGCAGAGGAGCGGGCGCGGCCGTTGCAGCCGGAGGCGCGAGGGAAGCCAGTGAGGAGGCGCTGTGGGCCGGAGCCCGGGAGCCAGGGCCTGAGGAGCGGCGGCCCCGGGGAAACCAGAAGCCAGGTGGCCTCCTGGCCGCCCTTGCTGGGCGCCGCCTGGCTCGTCGGTGGCCGCGGCGCGGAGCGCCCCATGCCCGTGTGTGGCCATGTCCTACCCGCAGGGTTACTTGTACCAGCCGTCCGCCTCGCTGGCTCTCTACTCGTGCCCGGCGTACAGCACTACGGTCATCTCCGGGCCCCGCACGGATGAGCTTGGCCGCTCGTCGTCGGGCTCCGCGTTCTCGCCCTATGCCGGCTCCACCGCCTTCACGGCGCCTTCACCGGGCTACAACTCACACCTCCAGTACGGGGCCGATCCCGCGGCTGCCGCTGCGGCCGCCTTCTCCTCGTACGTGGTGAGTGAGCGGGACCCCCCAACGGATGAGGGCAGCCTGCATGGCGCGGGGCCGCTGGGGGCTACGCGGGACGCGGGCCTCGGCGCTCCCGGCAGCTGCCCCCGCGGGGCTTCGCGGCTCCTGCAGCCTTGGCCGATTGTCTTGCTCTTCTTCTCCAGGGCCTTGGGCTCAGGAGTTGTCTGAGAGGGGAAAGCTGGGTCTTCCTCTCTGTGCCAAGCTGACGGGAATGGTTTTCGGGGGAGTGATCATTGCAATGGAAGAGCAGCGTTTTATTCACATAGGGGCTCCAGACTGCCCCGAGAGAGCATGAGGATTTGTGCGCGTGTGTGTTTGTTTTACCATTTTGGAAAAGTAGTTCAGAAGAAAGGGACCCGAAATCTGAGCAGAAATATGCTAAATCTATGCAAATACGCTCTGCCTCGCCTTTAATTAGTCCTCCAAAATGTTGCAAATCCATAATCCTATTTTTGCAATCCGATTTGAAGGTATTAAATTTCAGAAAAGTCGGCAGAGTTGCGGTGCATCCGGGATTTTTCGGCGGGTGCACGTTCTGGGAGCGCACTGTAGCTTCGGTTGGGATAGACTTTTGGAAGAGATGCGGGGGTGGGGGGGGTGGGGGGGGGGGGTGCCGGGGTAAAGCTCAGCTTTTACTTGCATTTCTCTGCTGAGAAAAACGCTGGGGTTCTCCCTGTTCTCTTGTTCTCAACGTCCCGCCGCCGCTGGGGCGCAGGGCGCGGACTCGGCTCTCCCAGGCCTCGCTCGGGGTGGAGGGCCAGGCCCTGGGTGGGTGATTCGCGTAGAGGACAGATGTGATAAGGCACAGAGGGGCTGGCGCCACTGAAGCTACTACAGGAGGGGTCTCTGAAAGCACCACACTCAGAATTTGGTGTCCAGCCTGCCTTTTGGGGAAGAGGACTGACCAGTGAAGGCGAGTTTCCCAATTCTGCTCCTGCGGAAGTCAGTACCCGGGGCGCAGACCGGCAGGCACTGGAGAAGTTGGTTTGGGTCACTTAGGTGGCATTGGGGCCACAGCCAACTATTACCTTTACTTGTGTCTCACAGGGCTCTCCCTACGACCACACACCAGGCATGGCGGGTTCCTTGGGGTACCACCCATATGCTGCACCCCTGGGTTCATACCCTTACGGGGACCCAGCGTATCGGAAGAACGCCACACGAGACGCCACGGCCACGCTCAAGGCCTGGCTGAACGAGCACCGCAAGAACCCCTACCCCACCAAGGGCGAGAAGATCATGCTGGCCATCATCACCAAGATGACCCTCACCCAGGTGTCCACCTGGTTCGCCAACGCGCGCCGGCGCCTCAAGAAGGAGAACAAGATGACGTGGACCCCGCGGAACCGCAGCGAGGATGAGGAGGAGGAAGAGAACATTGACCTGGAGAAGAACGACGAGGACGAGCCTCCGCAGAAATCTGAGGACAAGGGCGACCCGGAGGGTCCCGAAGCAGGTGGGTCGGCGTCAGCGGGAGTGAGCACTGGGGGAGAGGAGTTGGAAGGGATCCAGGGGCTGGAAGCAAGGGTCTCTGCCTCTGGGGACCTCGGGGTGCCCCCTCGCAGCCTCCGCGCCTCTGGTAACCTGGGTTTCACCCCCCGCAGGAGGAGCGGAACAGAAGGCAGCGGCGGGCTGCGAGCGGCTGCAGGGACCGCCCACCCCCGCCAGCAAGGAGGCCGAGGGCAGCCTCAGCGACTCGGATTTTAAGGAACCGTCCTCCGAGGGTCGTCTCAGCCTGCTGCCCGGGCCCCCTCGCCACGGCAGATCCTCCCCGGTCGGGCCTGCAGCCCCGCGGCTGACTGAAGAGCCGGCCCCGCCGTACCCCCCGGGCGCACCGGCGCTGGGCCCGCACCCGGCCTCCGGAGAGCTGCACCCGGGCCCCGGCGGGCCCTCGGTCATCCACTCGCCACCGCCACCACCACCACAGGCGGCGCTCGCCAAGCCCAAACTGTGGTCTCTGGCCGAGATCGCCACCTCCTCGGACAAGGTCAAGGATGGGGGTGGCGGGAACGAGGGGTCCCCGTGCCCTGGGCCCATAGCTGGCCAAGCCCTAGGAGGCAGTCGCGCGTCTCCGGCCCCAGCGCCTGCGCGCTCCCCCTCGTCACAGTGCCCCTTCCCGGGAGGGACCGTGCTGTCCCGTCCCCTCTACTACACGGCGCCCTTCTATCCCGGCTACACGAACTATGGCTCTTTCGGACACCTTCACGGCCACCCTGGGCCCGGGCCAGGCCCCACTACTGGTCCGGGCTCGCATTTCAATGGATTAAACCAGACAGTGTTGAACAGAGCGGACGCTTTGGCTAAAGACACGAAAATGTTGCGGAGCCAGTCCCAGCTAGACTTGTGCAGAGACTCTCCCTATGAATTGAAGAAAGGTATGTCCGACATTTAACACGGGCTGCGCCGGTCCAGGACTTTTCTAATTTATTAAAAAAACAAAACAAAAACAAACCCACACACACACACATGGCCTTGGCAGTTATTTTTCCATCACCAAAAAAGAAACACAAAAACAAACAAAAAAAAACCACACTGCCCCTCCTATTCAAAAGTTTATAGTTTATGGAGGTGGATGTCATAAAAATGTAAACATCTCCATGCAAAAATGTCTTAGTCAACTGAAAAGGAAAAAAATTTAAAAAAAGGATTTGTATTAAATCTTATTCTGTATATTTAATGTAGCATTTTTGTATTTAAATTGATAATTCCATATCTTTGAAGTAAATTATGAAATTGAGACACTTGTACAGGCATTTAATGGGGTGGGTTTTTTTGTACTATAAGTATATACATTTGTGTTCTCCCCCAAACTGTTTCATAGTTTAAAAAAAAAAACAACACAAGTTTAATTTAATTTTTTACACCTATTGATTTTTCTGGGTATGAGCAAAAGTATTATTACAGAAAACAGGTTATACTCTTAGATTTTACAAGTGAGAGGAACTGCAGCCGCCTTTGTAAAATGCAAAATATTTAATTAATTAAAAGAGATTTTAACATAATGAGAGCCATCATTACTTTTTAGAAGCTTAATAAACTGTCCATTGCCTTGGACAAAAGGTGTAAATGGCAACTTTTTTTTTTTTTTTTCAAAGTGGGGAGTGCTCTTCAGAGAGCCAGGGGGGGACGTGTAATTAGGCAGCGAACCCCCCGGGAACCGGGCTCTACCCGGGCTGCAGATTAGCATCGCCTATGCGGGCTGCGTGGGGAGATCGGGCCCCGGAGGAAGAAGGAGGGGACCCAAGTGTGTGCCCGCAAGGGAGAAAGGATGCCAGAGGCAGCCAGAGACGCGCACCACCCGAGCGCCGTCGCTTAACCTAATTACTTCCAATCAGTGTCGTGTTTTATGCAAAGCAATCAGCTGGTGAACTTTGCTAATGAGTTCGATTTTATGCCGGATTTAGCCCTTATTACTATTTCAAAGGTGCTGCGAGCTAATGCGGCCGCGGGAGCGTGGTGGGATGCTGTGCGGGAGGCCTTTCCCAAGCCGCTGTCATCTCTCCTCCGGGGAAGCTGGGCCGTGAGCTCGCTGGCTTGGATGACATTAGTGAGAGTGCGGTCCCCGACGGTGCGGGCCTCAGCGGGCGGTGGGGCTGGGGGACGGCGGGGGACGGTTCCCCGCTTTCACAGGTAGGTGTCACACTTGTCCTGGATTTCAAGCCAGCACTTCTGCCAATTTGAGAGCGAGAGGGAGGAAGGATCGGGTAGGGGGTGCGTAGGGGGAGCCCGGAAAGGGCCAGAGGACCCCGCCCTCTACAGGGCTCCTCTTTTAGGAAAAGTGGCCTTTAAGAGCTCGGGGCCTGGATAACTAGGCCGTTGAGGACTCGAACCGGCCTGCCGTCGCTCTCGCACTTTGTCAGGCTCAGGATGTAAGAGTCCCCAAGAATTTCTGAGGTCTTATTTTTATCGTCTATATCCTTGTACGTTTCTCGTGGATGTGCAAAGTCTAGCTGTGTCTCAATCCCAAATGAGAAAGAGGCGCGGAATCCGCCTGGTCCTGGGGGTGCGGCCTTCTCTCCACTGCGTTCTTGGTGGCTTCCTTTTGCTTCAAAATTCTGAGCTGGCGACGTGTTTCACTTCGCAGGATATGTTCGGTGGTCGGAGCTGGCTGGAGGGCAAGCGACCACGAAACACGCTGCAGCAAGTGGAATACATTTGCTCTATTAAACTCAAGCCCGAATGTGGAGGGAATAAGCTTAAGTGTAACACCGATTACAGGAGGCTAAATTAAAATGGCATCTATCTGCTTTTCTCCTCGAGATTACTTTAAAAGCCACTCGGGGTTGAAAACACACCCAAACTTTCACCAGAGTTTTACTTTAACAAAAATTTTCCTCACTCGGATGTGAACAGAGTTTGAAAGCTGCACTTTCAGTCCAGTTTCGTGAACTGCAGTGGACTTGAGGGTCTAAATTAGTGAGAAAATTCGCACAGGGGAAGTGATTTCAAAGCTGGAAGTGTGAATGATTAAATATGGATGAGGCGATCGTGTTTTATTTTGTCCCTTTAATTATAAATGATTTTTTTAAAAAAAATACAACAATTGCATTCCAGAGATGATTTCCCCACCCCCGCTTCCCTGCCCCCACGGTCCACACAGAGAGCCTAATTCACAATCAATTCCCCCCAACCTTCTGTGAAATATGCAGCTCCAGGAATCACCTTCTTTTTCTTATTTAAACAACAACCAAAAAAAAAAAAAAAGCCAGAAGAATAGGCTTTTAAAAGAGAGTTTAAGGGCATCAACTCGATGGGATTTTGGAACCACTGGTTCTAAACCCTGCCCAACGATTTTAAAAGGAAAATTACAGCCTGCTTAGAGTTCCTGGGCATATGCAAATGTCTCTGCCCCTGGGCCCCCTAAGTCTGACCGCAGAGGGACTGGACGAAAGCGGGTTGCCTGCAGGGCCGCCTGAGTAGGGGGACTGTACTCGCGGGAGCGAAGAGGGGCGCGCGAGAAACCTCCAGGCTGAACAGTGCAGTCACCCAGAGCTCGGTGGTTACCTCAGTCCGCCTCCTTCTCGCCCCAGGCAACTACAGGGTCTGCGGTTCCTTCTGCATTTTGGTCTTGAGTCCGGGTCCTCCCCACCCCAAGAAGTTTGCCGTTTTTTTGTTTGCTCAGCTAGGTTGCGTTTGCCTGCAGTTTGTCTGAGGTCTAGAGACTTTGAAAAAGGCCTGTTGGGGAGCTCGAGGGCCAGGTCAGTTAGGAACTGTCTCCTGCGTTGAATCCCAGAAGTGGTTGTGCGTCTTGATCTGCTTTCAGTTCGTTCCTGGGGCGCCGGCTGCGGCGTGATCTGACTCTGAGGCGCAGCGTCTTCTGGACGCTGGAAATTCCTGGCATGTGTCGGGAATCCCGTGCGTTCGCAGGCTTGGTGAAGGATGTGAAAGTTGCCCAAGCCACCTGGCGGAGGGGCTTCTCCAATGTGTGCCACCTGCACTTGGCAAGGCCGGTTCTGATCCCCAGGGAGCATCTAACTGGTCTCCATGGGGCATCTGCCTTAACGACTAGGAAGTACTGGATATGGGGGTCACGATTCCTGTGTGAGGTCTAGACAGGCAAGCCCCCACCCCTACCCTGGGACAGCGCCAACTAGGGATGGGAATGGACCTCTTGTTCCACTGTGTGGGGTCGAATATATTTCACGGGATAAAGGAGGAAACAGCCCAGTTAAGCCCCACTCCCGAGGGCGCATATAAGGGCATACTGGAGAAGTTGGGGAATAGGCTCGTTCCATCCCTGGTTCACTTCTCCTGGATCAGAGTGCCAGGGCCCAAAATCTCGTTCCTCAGTCCGGGGGGCCCGCAGCTAGGCCTTCTTTCTAGTTGGCAAGTGTGCCCCTTTCCCTGGCCTGGAAGACAGGGGACAGAGGAGGGGGATTTGCGTGCAGTTTTGGCACAGGACACTTCTCACGGCCCACTTGTCCGCCCTTCACAACTAGCTAGCAGCTCGCGCGTGGGCAACAGGGTTCGCTTTGCAAAAAAGCCCAAAGCGTGAATAGGACCGAGCTCCCCGGAGGGAGCGGGACTGGGATGCAGTTACCCTGGGGCGCCGCCTACTGGTGGGTTCGCAGAGGCCGGGCGTTAGGCGGGACCCAGGCCTGCCCCAGCCACTGCCAGGCTTTACTCCTGAGCTGGGAGCTGGTGGCACTGAAGCGACTCCATCACCCTAACTCGCCCCACTGACCGCGGCGTGGGAACTGGGGGCGCGAGTTCAGTCCCGCCCCTGAGCCTCCAGGAGCTGGACCCCGAGTGTGCGCGCGGCCTGGGTCTCAGGACCCAGCCATCATTGGGAATTTCAGGACCCAGGGCCCGCAACCAGGAGAGTTTTAACACCATGTATTTCTGCCATGAAGTTGGAACAACTTTCGTCACTGGCTGCAGGCATTTTTTTTTTTGGGGGGGGAAGATGCCTGAGGCTGAAAGAGCCTGCGGGTGGGAGCCTCAGTGGCACCGCCAGACTAGCGTCTTGGCACCCCTCTGGGGATTCCCTTCTGGACCCTGCGTTTCTGTTTCTGCTCGTATGCCCATGATGGGGGCTCCGGATCCTGGGCAGTTTTGTTTTAATTTGCGGTTTGGTATAGTCGTGGGGCTCCCACACAGTGGTGTCCCCCAAAACACCCCTTCGCGCCTGTGAGTTGGACGAAAAACCAAAGATTGCAATTCTGAAGGTTGAGGTAGAATTGCTTCAAAGGGTTTCCGAGGGTGTGCAAATCTTTACGGAAAACGACGGTCCCCCTTGTCTTCCACAGAGGCAGGTGGGATTCGAACGCGCACCTTTGGTAGTAGCTAAATGTCTTAACCTCAGCGCCACAAAAGCTGGTGGACGACTGTAAGGAAAGGAGAGAGAAACCCGCCTATTTGGCAAAGACCTTCAGGAAGTTCGAATAGTAAAGCAGGCGCCCCTTTACCCGAATTCTCTCCCCTTCTCACCAGAGCGCTAACCTGTGGTGTCAGTGGCTTCCTCCGGAGTGCAAAAGTTTGGCTTCCAGAGAGAGCAGGTGGGAAAGCGGGGTGCACCCTGGACCTGGCTCTCTACATGGTCCCGCCCCCCCGCCCCCGACAACGGTAGGGAAATCGGGTCTGATTTTCTACTCCCCCTAAAAGTGGTCGAAGTTGTGAAATGATCCTGACTTACACCCTATGGCTCTCCGTTGCCGGGCCAGAGCCAGCCAGCTTTTCGTTTTCGCGCTAAACGCGACTTAGATTCGCGGCACAGGGTGTTTCAGATGATGGCCTACCAGGGGGACCTCTCAGTGGCCTGGAACCAACGCTGGCAGTTGCCCGCCCCTCGGCCGCTGGGGGGGTCTCCGGCTGCGTGCAGGCCCCACCACTAGGTCCCCAAGGCCACCCGCCTGGCCGCGCTCGTTTCCGGCGCCCTGAGGAGCCCAACGT